CTACCCCCACCTAAGGGGCGTGTAGCTCTCACATAATCTCCATGCCCTCCTCTGCAACAGGCTCAGGATATATACAAAGTAAGTGTTCTGGCTTCCTGCTGAGTTACTTAGCCAAACCTCTAGACTCCCCAAGTTGACACAATGTTTCAACCATGACAACCACTAAGATAGAGTCTAATGTTTTGGGGTTGGTGCTTCAGCTCTGACATGTAATCTTTCAAGCCCCAGGAAGTCATAGCCTGTACTCCACGGCTCAATCCCAGCCAACAGTGTGGAGCACTGGCTCACACATCCTGCCTCATCCCAGCTCACTTGTGGGAGCAACGCCTGCTGTCTCCAAAGACTACCATCAGCACCTCGGCTGGGCCGATCGATATGCATTGCTTAAAGCCAACTGAAGGGATAAGGAAGGGTCCTAGCCAGCTCTGTACATATCAATCCATGGAAATAGGGTCAGCCTCAGCCAAAATGGAGACAACTGCTCCTCCTTCAAGGAGAGTCACCTAGGTGATCCTCCACAAAAAAAGATTTAGAAACAGTGAAATATGTGAACTTTTTTTTGGAGACAGGGTCTCATTCTGTAGCTGAGGTTGGCCGTGAACTCACTTGTAGCCAGGCCGGCCTTGGACCCACGGTGAGCCTCCTGCCTCACCCTCCCGCGTACTGGGATTATAGGCGTGGCCACCACACCTGGACATAAGTGAACTTTTAGAAGAATTATGTAACCATTTTTTCTCTGTTCAACTTGTGCAGCTCATTTTTTAAAAATTCTAAATATTGCTATGGTAGTGTTTTGCTTAGAATCCATCAAGAAATACCTGCTGTGCCCCTAATATAGAGACTTACCATCCAAACTGTTTTTTCACAGGGACTTTGAAGATGATGACGGCCACGATTGGGTGTCAGAACTGAAGGAGCGAGTTGGATGGCAGGGCATGTGTGACGGATAGTGCCTTCGTCCTGTGGGGAAGATGTTTCAAATGAAGAATTCATGTTTGGAATCAGAGGGAAGAGGGAGAAACTGTTAAGATTTAAAGTGGTTCCTCACTTATGTGACTGAGCTTTTAAAACTCTAGATCTTCTAGCCAGACGTGGTAGTGCATGACTGTAATCCCTGTACTCACGAGGCTGAGAGAGGAGGATCACCGTGAGTTCAAGGCCAGCCTGAACACTCTGTCAGACAAACAAACAAACAAAACAAAACTCTAATTCCTATGAGAGTTTTTAACACAGTGGAGAAGGTACAGCAGATGGGTATGAGCTTCAGGCTTTGCAGTCCAGTAGATCAGAGATTGTGATTGCTGGACATGGCACAACCTCTTCTCACCCATAAAGTGAGACTTTATAACACCTGCCTTCTGGGGACGCTGCCACTGGTCTGCTAGGATTTGTGTTTATTACTGCATAACACTTTATACTTCCTAAAGATGTGAGGGTCTACATGTATTTAATCCTGTCTTGGTTACTTTTCTCTCATTGCTGGGACAAAATATCTGACGCCCAAAATTAAGGAAGGAAAGGTTTATTTCGCTTACAGTTTGTGGAGGTTTCAGTCCATACTTGGCAGATTATAAGGCAGAGTGGCAGAGGGCTACAGCTCAAAGCTCTAAAAGTCTGCCCCATGGCCACATGACGCTTTTGGGGGACACCCACACACAAACCATAACAAATCCTAACAGGATACTGTGTGCGGTTTCTCTGTAAGATCTAGGTCATTTCCAGTGATCTGAACCGGCTCCTAGATGACCTGAAGTACAGCCCTTCACAGGACACGCGCAAGAGCCTGCGTGGGAGGTGCCCCATGGCGAGATGGGGCAGCTCTGGATCTTGTCAGAGACAGCAGCCAGGACTGCGCCAGAGGAGAACGAGGCCACTGTGGGTCCACTAGCAACGTAAAAGCCCCACCTCAGACATCAAAGGTTCCAGTTTAATTCCCAGTTCCCACCCCTGCCGTGGGGTTAGATCTTCCTGTTTATCATTTCTGGAATGTGTGGTTGTAAACTGGTTGTAAACGCCCTGCTATTCGTGGACTCCCAAAATGTATTGTTCTTCCCCTAAATGTTCTACCCCTCCTGGATTCTCGTAATGTACTGTTCCTGCCATAAAAAAAAAAAAAAAAGAAAAAAGAGTCCCCTCATTGTTACAGATGTGACATGTGTTTGCCAAACAGGTTGCAGTTTTAGGGTATAAAAGCTACTCTTGTCCCTGGATCGGCACTGGTCTGATCCTTCCCTGCATGGAGGCTCTCAGTCAGTCCCTGGCCAGGAATAAAGGCTCGTCCTAAATTCCAGTTGGTGGTCCGTGCATCTTGGTGTTTGTCGGTCGGTACCATTTGGTTCGTTTCTGGTTGCAAGTCCAGAACAAGCAAGTGTCAGGAAGCAGAAAGTGGTGTGGAATAAATGGGGGGTTCCAAGCATATGGGGGTCACTGTAAGCACACACATACTGGGTCCTTGTTTAATGCTGTGATACCTCAGTGAAGCGAGAATATTCACCTTAACACAGGCTTCTCTCAGCCGCCCAAGTGCTTTAATTATAGATGTGCACCACCAGGCCCAGCTGAACGCTTCCTTCCTGGCATTCAAGATGGTTGCAGCTGGGCACAGTGGCACACCCCTCTATTCCTAGCACTCTGGAGACTGAGGCAGGAGGGTCTGACGCACAAGACCAGTCTGGGCTGCAGGAGACACCCTCTCAAAAAACAAAAACCAAACCAGCAACAACAAAAATCCAGAATTCCCCAGGGTACAAATATTTCCAAACCATGAAACAAAGGAAACTTACACTGATGTGTGCAGTTTTTGAGCGTCTGAATGAATCCCGGAAAGTAAATCCTTCAGAGGCTGAGGATGTTTCAATGGTATAGAGTGCTTGTCTAGATGCTCAAGGTCTGGGTTCCATGCCCAGCACTGAAAAAAAAATATTTTGAAAATCAGTTGATAGGCCCAGGGATATAGCTGAGTGGCACAAGGCATGCCAGCAAGTGCAATGTCCTGAGTTTGATTCCTGGTACCAAAAAAAAAAAAAAAAAGATTTGTAAGAAAATCAGTTGATTTGCAAAGTTTTGCATTTAATAAAATTTTAGGAGACTCTACAATTACCAGGTAAGTGTAAACCATTGTTTTGGGTGTACTGTAATACTGTATGATTCTTAACATCAGTACTATATGATTCTTAACATAGAACTAGAGAATAATTGAAAGACACTTTTAACCGAACTCCTAATCCTATTATTTGCATAAAAGAAAGAAAAAGAGAATCTATGTTGAACCTTATTCTAGTGAAGAGTTAGCATTCACCCATGGCTCCATGAACTAATGAGGCCTAGGGAGCCCATCCATGTCTTAGCAGTGAATATCCAAACAAGTTCTACTTTTGATATTTAAAAAGTATTTGTCAATATGTGGTATATTTTATTTTAATCAATTGTGTATTACTACTAGTTTTAATTTTCAATCCAGAAAAAGTAAGATCCTATGATCAGGAATGTTAGGTAAAAGGTGAGACCCAGGAAAGAGCACAGTCAGCTTGAATTTGGGGGTTCAGGGCAGGACCTCCTGGAGAGGCCAAGTCCAGGTCACTGAGCTGGGTCTCTTATAGATGGGGGGCGGGTAGTGGCCCAGGCTTAGGTGGGATGGTGGCGGGTGTCTTAGTTACTTTTCTCTCATTGCTGAGACAAAATACCTGATGCCCAAAAATGAAGGAAAGGTTTATTAGCTCACAGTTTGTGGAGGTTTCAGTCCATACTCAGCTGGCTCCAAGGCAGGGTGGCACATGGCAGAGGGCAACAGTTCATGGTGGTGGAAAGCAGCAAAAGCAAAAAGAGAGGAGCAGGAGCAGAGAGCAAGCCTCTTTCCCTCCCTTACACTGTATGCAGGCTTCCCGCCCCAGGGCGCGTGTAGCACTCACACTGATAATCCCAGCATTGGACCATGAATCAGTCACAAACTAGAAGCCCCGCACCCATGACTGCATGAGGCTTTGGGGGGACATCTAGACACAAACCATAACGAGGTGAGACGGAATTAAGAATGGCTGAGTAAAAAAAAAAAAAAAAAAGAATGGCTGAGTAGTGGCTATAGCAAGGGGCTGTGACCTACAAGGTGGCGCGTGTGTGTCTGGCCTAGCAAAGTAGGCATTGTTCCTAGGAACGGGCTGAATATTCTCTGAGCTCAGGGACTGGGGGTAGGGGTGGGGAGACACAGGACACAAGGGGTCAGACCGATGGAGAAAATAGGCCATATATATATATCTATCTCAGAGCTATAAGGTAGGGTCATCAGTGACTTTCAGGCATGAAAAAGATTAGGATAAAACTCGGAATTGGATGGAGGATTGATTTCAGGAGAAAAAGTATTAATACACATTTTCTGATTCTTAAAGTGGGGTTTTTAGGAGGTGGATTTGACAGTCGTGGGTATCGCATGGCGAGTTATCGCGTTGCGTTGGGGGTGGCTAGGTTCTACTTCTGTCTCCTGCTTCCTTGCCTCTGCGGGAAGTCGCTTACTTTCCCGCTGCCTGCACACAGAGGAAACAGACTGCAGATCGACGGGCCGGTGGGGAGTGCAGCGAGGTGGGGGGCATGTATGCAGACCCCTGGGCAGCAGCCGGTTTTGTAGGCGACCCCAGGGGAAAGCTTGGGTCGTTGCCGCCCCCAAAGCAGCTGCAGGTTCGGGGACCTCGCCGCAGAAGCTCGCCGCCTCCCGGGGGCGCAGCTCAGTGGTAGAACCGGTGCAAAGCTTACACGAAAGTCCCGGGTTTGATCCTCAGAATCGCCAGCCCCGCAGCAAACTCGCTTCCAGGTTCTGCTTTAGGCATTTGTGAAATGGGGAGTGTAACTCCTGGGAGAGTTGTAAAGAACAGAGACAAGGTGAGCGGGGTCACGCGAACGAGAGGGGAGCGGCGTGCTGGTGCGCCTTATGCAAAGGGGTCTGACCTAAGGTCACGGGAGACGGGCGATCTCCGCCCGCTTACTCTGCAGGAAGGACCGCGAGGACCCGACGCCTCCCCCGCGCTCCCGCCCACGTCCCTTGGCGGCTCCGCCCCCTGGCTGCGCCCAGGCTCCGCTGCCCCGGGAAACCCGGCTCGGCCAGACGCTCCTCTGGCCGCCAGGGACAGGTACGGTGCGGTTCGGGCAGGCGGGCAGGCTGTGCTTAATCCTCACCCGCAGCTGCACCAAGGCTCCAGGAACCGCGGGGCAAAAGGGTGGGTTTCGGGCGGGGGGAGCCGGGGTGGCAGAGAGCTCGCGGGCGTCCTGGCCGCGTCCATCTCCATGGCAACACGCGGGATGCCAGCTCCGCAGCTGGATCTCGCATAACTCCGTGGCTTGCACCCCCTGACGCCACCTGGCGGGAGGGTGCCAGGCCCTGAGTGCTGGCTGGAGGGTTCCGCGCTCGCCTGGCTCACAACTGGGTCTTTCGGTGCCCGCAGCCTCCGCTGGCAATCCAGTGGTACCCACTTTCTACCTGATCCCTCAGGTTTTTAAAACCTGCCCTACGTCCTAAAGGTAGTATACAGGGGGAATAAAAGAAAGGCAGTTGACACTAAAGTATATGTTTCTGTCCCTAAATATTTGACACTACTACATGGAAGTCTGAAGTCGCCAGATGCCCTGGTTTGGGCACCTGAAACTGGTGACCGCCAGTGAATCCGGTAACAGCAGCACGGCCAGTGGAGGGCGTGATTTCTCAAACTGGTGAACAATTCTTGTTAAAAGTTCTTTTTTTTTCCTCCTTGAGACCGGTTCTAGCTATGCAGTTCAGGCTGGCCTTGAACTCACTTTGTTGCCCGAGCAGGCCTCAAACTCGCAGTGATCCTCCTGCCTCGGCCTCCGAGTGCTGGTATTACAGGCGTGCACCACCACGCCCGGTCAGTCTCTTGTTAAAAGTTCTCAAGTGCAGTTAAGCCTCGATTGACTGGTAGTTAGATGCACTCCTAGGAAAGTCAGTTGGGGTGGGAGCTTTGTGTCTAGTGTAAAATAGCGTTTGGTTGCAGCCACAGATAATTATGAATGGATTCTTCCACTCATGGAAACGCGCGGGGTGACTTTCCTGGGTTGGGGCGGTCACAGGATATCCTTTACTGTGTGTGGACCGGCCTCGCCTGGAAGTCGCGTCCCAGGCGCTAAGCGCCTCTAAACCCTGTGATGACTGACTCTGTGGGGAGACCGAAAGCCCTGCACGAGTTCCAGACTGCTGCTTAGAGACCAGTTACTTCCCCGGAGGAGGGCTGGCCTGGGACCGCACACACAGGCCAGAGGACGTGAGGTGCCAGGCCACCGCCATTTACTAAATTGCCTTCTCTGCTTCCTTGCCAGCAGTGCTGGTATTTCTATTTTGGGGCGCCGAGTTTTGCCAGGTTTGTGGGCAAGCTCACCTGCTAAAGTGACTCAAGCTGAGGTGCAACTGAAGTCGGCCCTTGGAGGCCCCCGGCTGACCTTCTGATTGTTACCTGTGGTCACAAGGACGTTACCTGACCCTGCTTTGGCCAGGCCGGAAGAGAAATTTTGGCAGAGTGAGTTCCTTCCCTTTTTAGTCAGTTTTCTGGCTGTTGGTTGTCATGAGAAGCATGCAGTGATAAGATCCTCTCATTCTAGGAACCTCAGCGCTGGAGACCATGGATAAATTTGATGTGATTAAGGTCATTGGGGAAGGTTCCTTTGGAAAAGCCTACTTGGCTAAAGGGAAATCAGACGGCAAGCACTGTGTCATAAAAGAGATCAGTTTTGACAAGGTAAAGAAGTTCACGTTCCTGTTCATTTTCAGTGGTACATTTAGCCGACTTTTAATCCAATGTGGAAAGAAAACACTTTGAACAGTTATAAATTTTAGGGTTCACCAGGCGTGGTGCTGCATACCTGTAATCCCAGCACTTGGGAGGCTGAGGCAGGAGGATCGCTGTGAGTTTGAGACCAGCCTGGGCTACAAAGTGAGCTCAAGGCCAGCCTGAACTGCACAGTGAGACCCTTTCTCAAAAAAAAAAAAAAAGAATTTTAGGGTTTATATCTGTCTTTGAGTCTGTCTCCTAAATCCATTGCCCAGACAGCAACCCTTCTTTCTTTACAAAGAAAAAGAAAGAAGGGAGGGAGGGAGGAGAGAAGGAAGAAAAGGAATCACAGCTGCCCTTCCAAATCCAATTATCTGATAAGTGCTGTTGACTTTTTCTCTTCTCTGAATTTGCTTCACCCCCTTGTCCGTTTCCTGGGCTGTGTGGATCCTCAGGTGCTTTGTTAGTGCTCCAGTTTACTTTTTCTTTTTTTCCCTCATGGAAAACCCTTCTATTTATTTGATTAAACAAAATAAAATAAACTGGATAAGAACAATGTTTTTTGCTTATTTGGTTTTATGAGACAGGGTCTCACTATGTAGTTCAGGCTGGCCTTGAACTCATGGTGATCCTCCTGCCTCAGCCTCCCACATGCTGGGATTATAGACACCCACCATCTTGCTCAGCTTGAACTGTTTTGTCTCCATGCCATAAATAAGTAAAATGTTACTTTAGATGTCATTATTCTTACTTTCTCAAATCCCCTTATGCTATTAGACTTGCATGTGACATCTGTGTCAGAGTATTAACATTGATTACTTCTTTTTTCCTTTCTACTCTAATGTAGTTTTTTTTGTTTTGTTTTGTTTTTTTCTGGTACTGGGAATCGAACTCACGACCTTGCGCTTGCCAGGCAGGCACTGTGCCGCTGAGCTAAATCCCCAGCCCTCTAATGTAGTTTTGCATTCTTTCTTTCTTTCTTTTTTTTTTCCGGTACTGG